CTAACCCCACATTTTAAGAATTATTTTCACGTACTTATAAATAAAAGTAAACAATTTTATATGTAGGACTAAGCAAGTAAATGTTATAAGAATATTTACATGTGGAATTGTATATAAAAAAGTTAGTATTTTCGTAGATTTCAGTACCTTAATGGTTTGATCGTTTTTTGCACCTGTTTATTCGTTTTACTGCGGCGTCTTTGAAAATACTCAGGTGGCATGACATAACATTGCTATTATTTGATAAGCTTTAGATTATTCAGTTATTAAATGTTTGAAATTATTTGTCTTTGCGGAAAACACTATTTAAAGAATATGGGGCCCTTAACTTATCTCTTGAAAAGTCCTCAATAGTGAATTTAACGTCAAACCAGTCGACTGCAAATAATATATCGGGTGTTCCACATAAAAATCCTCAGCCTCAGATCTCGGCAACGGAAAGATATTTTGATTTTGAAAAAAAAAAAAAAACAGATGATAGAGCTCATCGATGTAAGCCAGGAAAATAAGCTGGGAAATGGCCATTTCGCGACTTTTTGTTTCTGCAAACTGAATTTATCACTATAAATGCTAAATATTATGTACAATAATATATTAGTTTCCACAGTCATAAAAATGGTGGGAAAATTGTTTACAGGGTGGTTAATTGTATAATTTTTACGTAAATTCACGTTTTTCGCTTATAACTTTTTTTCTTTCATTTCCATGAAAAGACCTACAAAACTAGCTATCGAGCGTCAAAAAATATTGATTAGATCAAAAATTATAAACAGAAGAAATTTGTTTATGATTTTTGAATTAAAGATTTATAAACTGCGTTATTATTACCAGAACGTTTTGGCATCGCATCCTCTCATTCCTTATCATTGTCTAATAACTCATACGAAATCTGGAAGCGGTAAGTTGAATAGTTTACAAGTTAAAATAAACAAATTAACTAATTTTATTATTAGTCTGAACGATCCCGAGGATCTTCCACAGTCGCACTGTTTTTTTTCATGGTAGATTTCATAATAATACGTTGAAATCTATCATTTTTTTTAATGTCAAATTTGCAACCTGGAAATTTTTTTTCTTTTTTAGCCTTAGTTGCAAAATACGACGCACGCGCGTAGTATAGTTGTATATTATTACATATTCGGAAAGTTTATGAAAGAGCTTTAAGTTAAAAAAAGAATCGTCCAGAGTACTTTGCTAGATAAAAATATTTTATTTGTGGAAGTATATTAAGTGCATAAGAAATATTGTCAAAAGTTAGTGGGTCGCTTGATTTTCGGCGAGCCGTGGCGCGGCGGAAGGGTGGGGGAAGCGAACGACAGCGAGTCCGAAGAAAATGACGATAATATTTATAGTCCTGCCGTTAAATAAGCGAAATTCGCTTGAAAATAATATATTTGACAGTCTGTAACTCCGTTGTTTTTCAACGAATCTTGACGATTTTTTTTTAACTTAAAGCTCTTTTCATAAGCTTTCCGAATATGTAATAATATATAACTATATCACGCTCGTGCGTCGTATATTTCATTTTGCAACTACGGCTAAAAATAAAAAAAAATCCAGGTTGCAAAATTGAAATTAAAAAAAAATATAGATTTCAATGTATTATTATGAAATCTATCATGAAAAAAATCATTGTGATTGTGGAAGATGCTCGGAATCGTCCAGACTAATAATTAGTTAATTTGTTTATAAGGCCATAACTTCTAAACTATTCAATTTACCGATTCCAGATTTCTTGTGAGTTATTAGACAGTGATAAGAAATGAGAAGATGCGATGCCAAAACGTTCTGGTAATAATAACGAACTTTATAAATGTTTAATTCAAAAGTCATATATACATTTCTTCTGTTTATAACTTTTGATCTAATCAATAATTTTTGACGCTCGAGGGTTAGTTTTGTAGGTCTTTTGAAGACGAAAAAAAGTACTTTACTGTTTTCTCGTGGAAATGAACGGAAAAAAGTTATAAGCGGAAAACGTGAATTTACGTAAAAATTATACAATCTTCCCCTTATTTTTATGACTGTGGAAACTAGTATGTTATTGTACATAATATCATCAATACCATCAATATCATCAATAGTGATAAATTCAGCTTGCCGAGACAAAGAGTCGGTCCCAACTCTATATTTCTTGGCCTAGATGGCTTCGTCAAGGAGTGCAACTTGATTTTTTTCATAGCAGATTGGAGATGGCGTTGAAGTCGAAAGAAATTTTTCGTTGGCAGGAACTTTGTATCAAGCTTTATCCGATGCTTTGTTCAATTCTAAACAATTTTTGTCAAATGACTATTTTTCAAAAACTTAATAGTTTCAGGGATATCGGCCTTTTCAGTCGACGAGTCCCAAACTCATGCGTATTTTAGAGTTTCGAATTATTACCTCATACAATGGAACAATAATTATTATTATCCAAGTCAATTTAAATAGGTTTTTAAGGAATAGGGAAATAAAATATGCAAATTAAAAAGCGTGTTAAAAAACATTTCCATTTTCGCTAATATATATTTCAAAGCGTCGTCTTAGTTCCTGATCGCAAGAAGAAAGTAAAGAACGACGGGTAATTGCCTCACAGCTAGCATAAATTTTATTTATTGTCTGTCTTGGTTCAGTATATACCATATATTTTAATGCCCCCATTGAAAAAAATCAGAAAAATCAGGAGGAGTGAGATCTGGCGCCCTTGCTGGCCATTTAATTGGCCCATTTGTACCAACCCATCATCCAGAGTAGGATCTGTTCAAGTTTTCTGTAACTACTTGTGCATTATGAGCAGGGGCACCGTCTTGTTGCCACCACATATCGCGTCTTGTTGCCACAGGAATATCGTCAAATAAATTTAAAATGTTAAATGTTAAAATGTAAAATCAAAAAAATTTAAATACCGTGTACCAGTTTATTGTCAATCAAAGAAAAGAGGACCAATGAGATATCCATCTAATATGCCATACCACACATTTATTCCAAATTTATTTTGATTGCCAGTTTCTTTTGCCCATCTCGGATTATTGTCGGACCAATAATGACAGTTGTGTTTATTGACGAGACCATTACTATCAAATCGACTTTCGTCAGTCCAACAAATTGTTTAATCTTCGGGTCGTAAATGGTGAACAATATGTGCCTTGTATGGATGGAATTTGTTTCTGGACAGTATCCTATGACATTACGTAATTGATATGTTAGTTGCCTCTGAACTATTTCTAATTGAAGATTGTTTTCCACATGTTATAAAACTTCCACTGTTGCTAGATAATTTGTCACAGTATTTAAACAAGTTTATTGACATTAAAACTTTCATACATGTACAACAGCAACAGCAGCAACAGTAACAACTAAAGCAGACTACTCTAATCTATGATCGGAGTATTCCTTACTAAGTTGTCAGAGATTCCTTATCTGTTGTAGTCAAAGCATTCCTTTCTAACTCGACAGAACGCTCTTTATCCTCCTTACGCATACTGTTGGCTAAGCAAATCAGTTCAAGTAACAAGATTTAAGAGCGTTATCAGCGTCTTTGTCTTAGATTAGACATTGTTGTTATTGCTGTTATTGATCTTGCTAGTGCTGCCGCTTCTGTTGTTGTTGTTGTTGTTGTTGTTGTTGTTGTTGTTGTTGTTGTTGTTGTTGTTGTTGTTGTTGTTGTTGTTGTTATAGTTGTTGTTGCCGTAGTAGTAGTTGTAGTAGCAGCTGTAGTAGTTGTAGTTGCCGCTGCTGCTGTTGTCGTTGTTATTGAATGTAGGTGTTTAAAACAAAATTCTTGCCATATTTTACAGAAATACATATTTTTGTTTCACAATTCCTTATAAAAATTGTTCAATTGACTTGGATAGTTATTGTTCAATTGTGTCTAAAATACGCGAGAGTTTAGGTCTCATCTACTGAAGAGCCCGATATCTCTGAAACTATTACGTTTTTGAAAAATACTCATTTGACAAAAAGTTTTTAGAAGCATTAAAAAAAATTAGAACAAGTTTAAATTTTACATACATTGCATTTATTTAAAAGGAAAGGACGTTATTCCTTTGTTTTTTTTTTGGATTTGGTGAGGAATCAGCCCTGAAAGTTTCTTGCAACGTCGCTGGTACACTTTGGTATAGTCTTTCCGAAGTCAGTTGAACACCTATAAAAAAACAGAGCAATAAACTTTAATGAGAATCATAGGCGTCTCTAAAAAAGTTTTCTGCTAAAGGTAAAAAATTATAATAATTTGTATATAATGTGTAGAAAATTTCTATTATATGTTTGTTTGACCAACAACATATTTTAATTATTTATGTCCTCAAACAATTTGATTATATTGATGGTAAATTTCGTTTTGTTCCGTTTCAAAAGGTCTCCAAAATGCCATGTTGTAATAATATTAGTAAACAAAATATCCCACTTATTTCTCTTAATGGAATGGCGCCTATAATAAATTAAAATTATCTGAATCACACAAAATTCCGCATTGCTGCAGTACACTGCCATTCGACTTGTTGACAACTGAAATTTATGACGCAGCCAATCAGAGCAACTGTGGGTGACCGCTGTTTGCCCGCACATGCATTCTTCAACCGCATTTCTACCACCTAAACGTTTAATTCGACCAGACCGGTATATGGCTAAATAAATATGAGAACAAGTTTTTCAAATATTTCAATGCCGAGTTGCTGCGTAGCGACCGAGCCTGGTACATACTCTCAAGTTGTTGGTTCTTCAACTGAAATCGGAAAAACTATACACGCTGGTACAAGAATTACATATTTCTAAGCTTTTATCCAAAATGTGTTTTTGGCAATTATACAGGGTGTTTCAGTTCGAGTGAATCAAATTTTAACCACAGATAGAATTCGATAAGTAATTAAGAATTGCCTTATATACCAAGGTTCTATGTCTCACCGTTTTCGCTCTACAGGGCCGTATTGGTCGGTTTTTTACATCATATTATTTATGATATCTCTGGTATGGTTGTAACAATTTGATTCAAATCTGGTATGATGTTAATACTTACGAATGTCTATAATTTACTGCAAAATTTACAAATTTTTTGTAGGTCAGTGGCGTAGAAACGGGTAGGGTAGCGGGATTTTTTTGCCCCAACTTCTACGCCAATGACCTAATACTTATTTGGGGTAAATTTTTAGATTCCTTGGACAATTTGGCATAATACTTGTTTGAAATCGGTAAAGTGTCTCGTTCTGCCGAAAATCTCAATAATGTGGGAGGCCGTTCTTCTGATAAGGAATCAAGTTTAGTTCAGTTTAGCAGTTATTAAATTACGGTTGAAAACAATATTAAACAATACGTCTCTACACTTCGTGTATTATTTTTATAGCATTTATAGTGTGGTGAGTTTCCTTTCTGAGCTCTGTTTTATGTTGCACTACAGTGCGGTACACATTCAATGATACCTCCTTTACATTTCATTTATGCTATTCTGAAACTATTATAAGTATTTTTGCTAATTTAACGTTTCATTTATGTCAAATTAGATATAATTTGTTTAAAAAAATTACACCCCTCATTGACAATTGATGTGAGGCTCATATTGTAAGTCTGCGCTTTGGGAGTATGTATTCACAAAGATTGCTATGCAAAACATAACAATAATGACATTATCTGTCATCAGGAATTGTTATTTAATTATAAAGATTTGCAACAGTACTTACCATTTGTCAAAATATGGATGAATATTCAAGTGAAGAATACGCTGATATGATTTTTGTGTACGGATATTGTCATGGTCGTGCTCGAGAAGCAGAAAGAGAATATCGGAGAATGTTTCCAAATCGTCGGCGTCATCCCTCTTTTGGCGTATTTATAAGAACCTTTAGAAGACTGCGACAAACAGGTTCTGTGCAAGTAAGAAAAAATCAAGAAGGTAGAGGATATCGTAATATTCAACAGTACGAGGAAAATATTATCGAACGGGTAGTTGATACTCCTGAATTGAGTGTGAGACAAATCGGACGCGAATTACAGATACCCCACGTATCTGTATGGAGGGTCCTTCATCAAGAGCTGCTACATCCATATCATTACCAGCAAGTGCAACATTTACAAGAAGGTGACAACCTTCAACGATTACAATTTTGCAACTGGATCCTCCAAAATTTGACGGAAGATCCACTCTTTTTACAAAATATTATTTGGAGCGATGAAAGCCTTTTTCCTAAAAATGGACTGAATAATTTTAGAAACTTACATCAATGGTCATTACAAAATCCCCATTTAACAAGAAGAAGGGCCTTTCAGCGCAGATTTAAGATTAATATGTGGGGAGTAATTTTTCGAAACAAATTATTTCTTTTTGAAATAAATGGTATACTGAATGGGCAAAGATATTTAGAATTGCTACAGAATTCCACACATGAAATTCTAGACGAGGTGCCATTAAATGAAAGACAATACGTTTATTTCCAACAGGATGGTGCACCTCCGCACAATGCAAGAGATGTTAGTGCATGGTTAACGGAAAACTATGGACATAGGTGGATAGGAAATAGAGGACCAATACATTGGCCACCGCGATCCCCAGACCTTAATCCAATTGATTTTTTTGTATGGGGTCATATAAAACAGCTTGTTTACCGCACTGTCGCGCAAGATGAAAATGATCTCAGAGAAAGAATCCACGATGCTGCAGATGCAATAAATAATACAGAAGGGATTATGTTTGATGTCTATCAGTCGTTGGTTCGGCGATGCAGAGCATGTATAAGAGCCAATGGGGGTCATTTTGAACATGTTATTTAATATTGTTTTATGTTAGTGTTATTTGTTATGTTGTTATTTACCGTTTTGTATTATTACTTAAAATTGTAAAAACCGTACCTACAAACTATTACCTATTATTAGCATCTAAGATACAGCAATAAGAAAAAGAATATTTCATTGTTTGCTGTTAACATTTTTACATGAAACGTTCCATTTTAATTTAATACATAATATTAAAGTAATATTACTTTGAAATGTATTTGCTATCATTACGAAACTAAATGCTTTATCAGAAGAACGGCCTCCCACATTATTGAGATTTTCGGCAGAACGAGACACTTTACCGATTTCAAACAAGTATTATGCCAAATTGTCCAAGGAATCTAAAAATTTACCCCAAATAAGTATTAGGTCATTGGCGTAGAAGTTGGGGCAAAAAAATCCCGCTACCCTACCCGTTTCTACGCCACTGACCTACAAAAAATTTGTAAATTTTGCAGTAAATTATAGACATTCGTAAGTATTAACATCATACCAGATTTGAATCAAATTGTTACAACCATACCAGAGATATCATAAATAATATGATGTAAAAAACCGACCAATACGGCCCTGTAGAGCGAAAACGGTAAGACATAGAGCCTTGGTTTATAAGGCAATTCTTAATTACTTATCGAACTGAAACACCCTGTATGTTACCTAAGATTTATAAGCAAAGGTAATTTTTGCAGATATCGCTAGTGGAGGCAGTATGGACTGGGTGAAAGGTACTTTCGGGACTCCAATTGCTTACACCTATGAGCTCCGTGACCGAGGCAGTTTTGGTTTTCTCCTTCCTGCTGCGCAAATTATTCCCTCTGCATTGGAAACATTGGATTCTTTGGTGACTATCCTCGATGAATACGAAAGGAGCAGACAGTAATATTCAAGCTTCTTGCAACTGGATTAATATTTAAAAAATAACACAAATAAATTTAACAAATAAACTTATCATGAAAATTCAATTGAAGTATTTTTTTCTACAGGTTGAAATCAAGTTAATTAATTATTAAATTATTAAAGACATAGTGATAAAATCAGCAATAAAGTTTGGGAAGCAATTCAATTTATAAAAATAATAAAATAAGTTAATACCACATTTTTTCAAACTAATATTAACGTAAATAAAAATCTTATTAAAAGATTGTCTAGTTCCAAGTCTAACCTAAATAGATTTCAAATAATTATTGTTTGTTTTATCGTTTGTTATCTTAAACGTCAAATATTATTGAGTGACATATTTGAACAAACATATCCTTAATTGGTAGTAATCAACGGAAATAATTGATCCCACCTGACAAGTTAAATAATAGGTAATACCATTAACAGCTATTCGTTATATATTATAAAATAATTATGAAATATTTTAAGAAAATTTAAACAAGGTGAAAAAATTATTAGTCGAGACGGTATCTGTTTCAAAAAGTCCATATTTGGGTGAATCGTATATCCACGGAGATTTTTGGCTTTTTGGCTTTCAAATATCAGTAGAAATGAAAATTTTTCTATGCGCATAAAAAAACATTTGCTTAACTTTTTAATTCGAAAAATGTCATATTTTTCTTCCCATTTAATTATGTATCTTTTCAAGAGTTGATTTTAGGCGAAAATGGAAGAGGAAGAACATGTTTGTAATTAAATTTTTTACAAAATATGACTAGTTACAAATCGAACGAATCATGACTATTATTGTAAAAATCGAAAAAATCGCCAAAAATGGGGTTAAAAACATTTTTTTTTAGGGATTTTTTTGGGGTCTTTAAATTCGGAATAGGCCCTTCATACTTGGCTCAAGAGAACTTCATGATATGTAGAATCATCACACTACATTTCATCAAAACCGGTTCGATAGATTTTGCATAACAATTTTGCAATCTAGATTTTGAAGAAAAATTTGCAAATTTTCAAAATTTTCCGCAGCAAAAACCAAGGCCCTAGATACTTGAAAATTTAATCATATATAGAAGGGCTCTAAAGCTTTCAAATGCTTTTTGAAAAATTCGAATCCGTCAATTAGGAGAGCTCTGGCACTTATTTAAACATTGGTCGAATTTTTGTACTTATAAACAATTGAATAACTTTAACTTTTTAAAGTAGGTTTTAAAAGATATTGGAAAGACGCTTCTTTAAAAAAAACAGATCGATTGGTCAATTATTTACGTAGTTATAGCCGTGATCAAAGTATAATTAAAATATTGTTTATTGTTTAAAATATAAACAAATGAGAAATTATAAAATTTCTCAACTCATTATATAACTAATTTTCGACATATTTTGAAAATAATTGTTGTTTAAAAAATTTTTAGAATATTTAAATAAATTTGTTTTTGATCTTTGATAAATATAAGGATGCACTTACCTTTGAAACAATAAAAAAGTAATGTTGATAATTAAAAGAAGTTTAAAGATAAATAATTATCGGACTGTTGAAAGACCAATAATTATTAACGATAGACAATTGAAAATACGCCAATTGTTTTTTTTTAATTGCGAGACATCGATTTAAAAAAATTATCAAAATCGGACCTCTAGAAGCTGAAATATTAAAAATTTTTAAGCGCGTCGCGGTTTTGAACTCGTCGATTCAATTTCGAGCAGGCCGAAGCGGCCGCGCTCTTTGCTTCCCTCCCACCACCACCCGTACGATTTTCTTGAATTTCTCGCTTGCACAAGTAACTTTAAACCCGTTTTAAAGTAGGTTGCCAATGATGAAAAGTATTGCAAACTTAGACCTGGTAAGTACTCGGAATACCAAAGGTACTTTTCGAAAAATTAGCCCGGATGTCCCAGTACAATTAGTGTAAATGACGGTTAACTTTGATCGGCTATAACTACGTAACTAATTGACCAATCGATCTGTTTTTTTAAGAGAAGAGTCTTTCCAATAACTTTAAAAACATGCTTTAAAAAATTTAATTTGATTGAATATTCACAAAGTTATTCTAATTGTTTCTAAGTACAAAATTTCGACCAATGTTTAAACAAGCGCCAGAGCTCTCCTAATTGACAGCCCTTCTATATGTGGTTAAATTTTCAAGGATCTAAGGGCCTTGGGTTTTGCTGTGCAAAATTTTGAAAATTTGCAAATATTTTTTTTTAATCTGGATTGCAAAATTATTATGCAAAATCTATCGAACCGATTTTGATGAAATTTGGTGAGATGATTCTACATAACATGAAGTTTTCTTGAGCCAAGTATGAAGGTCCTATACCCAATTTAAAGAAGAAGAAAATTCCCTAAGAAGTAATGTTTTTTAACATCATTTTTGGCCATTTTTTCGATTTTTACAATAATAATCAAGATTCATTCGATTTGTAACTAGTTATATTTTGTAAAAAATTTAATTACAAACATTTTTTTCCCCTTCCATTTTCGCCTAAAATCAACTCTTGAAAAGATACATAATTAAATAGGAAGAAAAATACATTTTTCAAATTTTTTTAACACATTGTGATGCCAAAAGTTAAGCCCACGTTTTTTTTATGCGCATAGAAAAAATTTAATTTCTAGTGATATTTGAAAGCCAAAAATCCAAAAATTTCCGTGGATATACGATTCAGCTAAACCAAAATAGATACCGCCTAGTCTATATGTGACATTCATACATCATTATATTAATTAATGATATTGTGAAAAACAACTACTCTGCGGGGTTCATATCCCTCTAGAATTGAATTACACTCACAATAGCTAGTAAAAAGCTAAGAGCATTCGTCAGCAGAATCGCGAGACATAGATCAATTTCGAACTTATTCTTATTCTATCAGTACGTCGCATGTGACATGAGTAGTTGTTTTTCACAATATCATTAGTTAGAAAATTTATTTAGACTATAGGTTAGTTGGTCGCCCTCTGTCAGCAGGTACAAAGCAGTGCTTCATGCCAGTAAGCATTGTGTTTAACATATACTTTGCACTATTTTCGAGAAAAAATACAATTACATTTATATAAGTATTACATGTTCATAAACTACATACTGTTAAAGTAAGTAGAACTTGCCCGGCGTACCAAGTAAAAAATATTGTTTCTTTTTTAACTACAAAATAATAAATATTAATTTAATTACCCTACAGAAATAATTCACGAATTGTTTAAAAATTTAATCTTTACAGTTTATACAGATTATGCGATGATATCAATACCTAAATAAAGTTTATATTGTGTCATAAATATATCTTAAAATGAGTTAATATATTTATTGGAAGTGAAGTGTAATTGCGCATTATGTTAAGAGTGTTCAAAAGAAGAAATATTGTGTAACATATTTTATTTTTAATAAATATCGAATCACAGTTTTATTATTTAGATCCTGGATGTACCAAAAATAATTTTCAATGTTGTTTTAGACGTAAAGACATGGTAATGATGTTACATATAGCGTAATATTAGACTACAAGCAAATCGGAAAATTTCAAGGGGTCATTTGACCAACATGAATTATTATAAATCAATACTACCAGATATAACAGTAACTTTAGAAACTATGCCGTCAAGAATCCACCAAAGGGGGGGGGGGGGGTCCGGAAAAACATTTTTGTACGGCGTTTCTAAAGTATATAGGTTATATATAAAAAAAATGAACCTCGGCCTAATAGTAATATGGGAAGCCAGGAAAATTTTGGACCGGTTTTTGGTGATTTACTACAGCACGGCGTAAGTTTCGGATTGATACGTAGATAACTTTTTTAGTGACGCCGTACGTATCTGCTGATGCAGGGGTTAGAAATGCAAGGCGCAACCCTCTATCTTAGCCCCCATTGTTTCAAGTAATTGAAAAATGTACGGTATCGATTCCACATGATTATTTAACTCTCCAAATAATTCTTAGCAACTATGTCGTCTGAAAATTATGGTTAATGCAAATGTTTATAAACAATTACTTGTATTTTGGAGTTGAGTTATATTTTTTTCGATAACATCATTAATTCCTGTACGGCAACCACTTTTTTGATAAAATATAACCAAAAACTATCGTAGTAAATTGTGGCCGGTTACAATTAATGGTACAAATTAAAAATTCGAATTAAAAAACAAATAAATAAATTTTGAACATTTACAATATTTTGAAAATTCCTTGTTATAAACTTAAAATGTTTAGTTGATAATATTTTTCATTAAATTTTTAATACATCTTTAGGTAACTAATACAATCATGGTCTCTTCTGTACTTTAAATAACGTACATACTCTTTTTCTTCTTACTTTAAAGCATTTTTTCCCAAAAAAGCACATTGACAAACAAATAAAATTCAGCAGAATACCTTAGATAAAACGTGAATCTTTTTAGTTCCAATTCATTCGTTGTTAAATTATTTTGAAAAATGGGTGCCTGTTTAAGCGCAAACCAAAGAATTGAAATTTTAATTATGATTGGATGCGGAGATAAAATCTGTAGTCAACAGGAGGTATGTGACTTATTTCACCATGAGTATCCATACCAGAGAACTATTCGAGCTAAGTAAAGTATCCAAAAAGTTTGAAGAAACCAGAAGTATAAAACGTTTACCTGGATCAGGAAGGCGAACAACGGTAAGCGATAATGACCATCAAAATGTGATGCTCGTCGTTATTGAAAATCACTCATCCATTAGATCTATCGCAGCCAACTTCAACTTGTAGAAATACTCAATTCACAGAACTCAGAAATCTCAACAGTGGCATCCTTACATAGTTAACGTCTTACAAGAACTATGGGCAGACATAGAGACAGAAGATTACAGTTTTGCGAGGAAATTAGAAATTTATTTGAGACAACCCAATTTAAAAAATCACATAATTTTCACTGATAAAGCCACTTTTTGCATAAATGGAACCGTGAACAGGTAACATACTAGGTTTTGGAGCCCAGAAAATCCGCATTGGATTCAAGAAAAATATAGACAACGGTTGGAAAAAGTAAATGTTTGGGCTGGAGTAGTAGGAAATCGAATACTGAGACCTTACTTCTTTGAAGGCAATCTAACAG